ACATTCTCTTTCAGGCATTGTCTCCCCCCCCCCCCTTTCTGTCTGCTTTCCCTTTCTCTGTTTTTTGTATTTGTCTCTCTCACAATTTTCCTTTTCTTTCTCGCCATCTCTCTCTATCTATATATCTATTTATATCTCTCCCCCTCTCTACCCTCTCTTTTAGAAGTGAAATAAAGGGTCTGGAAGCTTTCTGTTTCCCTTTACGTTGTCTAAAGCATTCCTTTTTATTTACCATTTCTCTTTATGATAGATAAAGTACCTGGGTTGTTTTCTTAACCCTGTAAGGACGTGGTAGATACTTGTATCTGATCAACAGCAATACAAAGGAAAAAATGCAGCTCGTTTCGAACAATTATACACCAAGAAAGCAGACACACGAATTTCCTTATTTCATAGTATCCTTCGTATTGCCTGTCATTTTAAGTACCAGAGAAAGCAAATACAATTAATTCATTTGTATTTATGATGAAGCAACGCTTCTTTTTTAAAGGGTTTCAAAACAGCTCGTTTTCAGTGGAATTTTTTTCATCAAAATGTGCGTCCTCAAATGGTTAAGCTACATCACCTATAACGTTGCTGTGTGCCCTTACTTTTTCTGCCTTTAGGAATTCATAGTTAGTGTAGACATTTAAAAGAACCCAGATTATTTTGGGAAGTAATCACTGAATTTGAGATTGCTTTTTTTTCTTGGAAATATTTTGGCCATGTAAAAATATGATAGTAACACCCCAAGCTTAGTCTTTAGTCTACGCGGGCACAATTTTCACCTTTTCATGGCTCGGCTCATACCCTCTATCTTGTGTATGTGTATGTTATGTCATGTTTAAATGCTTGGTACCCCTGTGCAGTATGCACGCAGCGATATATATCTAAATCTAACATGGTTGTTCCTTTCTCCTGGAGCTGCATTATATCGGACTGTACGGCTGGTTCCCCACTCTGGTACGTCACCCGTTGGCAGGAGTCTTATCTATCTATATATACATGGTGTTGTGTGTTTGCCAGTTCTCTTTCTCCCTGTTTCATCGATGGTTCTTTGTAACAATTTATTTAACAAAAAAACAACAACAAGCGGATACCCCCCCTCCCCATACGTTAGTGACACATTGTATTCCTATCCAACAAATCCGATATTTGTAAAAAAAATTTGTATAATATATCTGTTGTATTTTGTGTAGCTACGACATGATATAGCCCAGTCTCTTCTGTGTTCTGTTTATGTCAACACTTATACTGATCTTCTTTTCTTTTTAAAATTTTTTTTTTTATAGTTTTCTTCTATTTTACGTTTATGCTTCATACTCAACTTGATGTGTGAAATTTTCAAATAATGTTTTTCTATTTTTTTTCTTGTTATTTGTATTGACTGAAAAGTATATCGATATTCTTCTGTTGGTCGCTCTCTTAGAAAAATCTTTTTGTCTTAATTTCTTTCGTTCTTTTCTTTGTTCAGTTAACACCCCAAGAGAAGGAAGTATAGTCATTATAGAGTCATATTACATTATTCTCTTCGGGTATACATTTAGGAATGTACGTTCCACTGGAAGTGGAAGGCCAACGGCCTATACTCACCC